ACCTCACACAGTGACTACACAGGTATACACACACACACACACTTCACACAGTGACTACACAGGTCTACACACACACACCTCACACAGTGACTATATATTCAAGTCAGTATTTAAGAACGGAAGCATCATCGTAGCTCTGGGCTCCTTTACAGCTGCAGTTTCTGTCTTTTCTGTGTCTGTGAAGAGCAGATGAAGAGGGATGGATTTTCTGTCAAATGTTACCCTTTCCCACTAGTGTAAGACTGGAGAGCAGGGCCCTCACTATACCCTTCGTGAGGAACAGAGTGATGCCTCTTGTGAACAGGTGACTTTCAATCCTCATGAAGGTAATGAGATCTGAGGGGAATCTTTGCTCCCATCACTGACCCCAGGGTCTTGGCTTCATGCTTCCAGATCAGAGCATCCTACATGCCTGTCTTCATTGTACCAGTAGACGCCCAACTACGAGGCCCTGTGAGCGCGCAAGGGAACAGCAATTTCATGTTCTGGATTTGGTAGGTTTTCCTTACCTGAAACTGAGAGGTGTCTGGAGAGCTGGCTTGGAGGTCTAGTGCTGCAGCTCTTATAGAGATCCCAGCAACTCCAGCTCAACGGGACCTTCTGGCCTAAGTGGGCACCCTCCCCACATAAATAAATACACACATATACACACGAATACAAATTTTAATTTTGAAATAGGAAGGCAGATCTTTGTGAGTTTGAATCCTGCCTGGTCTACTCAGCAAGTTCGAGTGCAAGTGGGCTCATATAGTTAGACAATAATAATATAATTGTTATACATCGCCATTGTCATAAAAATAAATTAAAAATAAAATGAGAGCTTTCAGAACACATCTCTGTTAAAAAAGAAAAACACAAAATGGACACAAGTATACTTATTTGGAAGGTGATCTGTCAGCGTGACCATCTAGCAGAACAAATAGCAGGTCCTACCCTCCAGTCCATGAGCTCTCCAGCCGTGGGCTTTTGGACAGCATTACAGTGCCATGCACGAAATTCCCTCCTGTGGTTCCTGCCTGAAAATCCCATCAGTGTGCACCAGGAGGTACACTTTGCCTGGCAGCTCTGTGTTACAGCATGCCAGAGAGCTCAGCGCTTGCCAGTGAGACCACTGATGTCTGTTATCCTGCAGCAGTCTACATAGCGCCTTCCAGCATCTAAAGAGCTAGCCAGCTGCATGTTTCCCAGGTGCTTTATAGCTGATTTCTCCATGTTCTGTAGCCATGATGTGTGGTGTCTTCAGCACTGGGGTGTTGGCATATAGTTGCTGTGGGTGACCCAAAGCAATGGCATCAGCCTGTGCTGTACTGGAGACCTCTGGAGCAGCTCTAAACAAATCTGCAGGGAGCTGTCCCAAGCCTTATGCATATCCCTGTAGACTCGGCCTTGGTTGGAGAAGCCTCTTTAGGCAATGGACAGCAATCAGTCCACACAGAGACACAGAGCTGAGCAATAGACAAGTGCTCAGCCCTGAATGTCACCAAGGCTCAGGGGACATCAGGGAAGAAAGAGAGAGGAGGTGTTACCTGCACAAGGCCTATACAAGATCAGGTCAGCCACAACCCCACCATAGGTGGGGTAGACAATATCCATGCCCCACCCCATACTGAGGGGCTATTGGCAGTGGGTAATTGCTGGGGAGGAAGAGCCATCTTTTAAGAGATATATTTATGTGTAAGTATGTATGTCTCCATGTCTGTCACTGGTGTGTGAGTGCCCACAGAGGTCAGAAGTCATTTCCCCTGAAGTTGGAGTTACATGTGTCTATAAGCTACCTGCTGTTAGGATGGGAATCAAACTCAGGTTTTCTGGATGAACAACAAATACTTTTAGCCACCAAGAGATCTCTCTCTCTCTCTCTCTCTCTCTCTCTCTCTCTCTCTCGTTTGTTTGGTTTTTCAAGACAGGGTTTCTCTGTGTAGCCCTGGCTGTCCTGGAACTCACTCTGTAGACCAGCCTCGAACTCTTGAACTCAGAAATCCACCTGCCTCTGCCTCCCAAGTGCTGGGATTAAAGGCGTGTGCCACCACCGCCCAGCTAAGGCATCTCTTTCTGAAGATGCAGCCACTAGTAGGTTCTGCAAGCTCCAGAGGATTCTCTACTCCCTCCCATACATGGGTAGCACTCACTCACCCTAGTGGGTTGTACATAAAAGACATGAAGTTGGGAGGAGCTGTGTGTTGGGGGAGACACTGGGGGAGGATGTTGGAATAGATACATTATAGTTCCATTATATACATGTATGAAATTCCCAAAATAAAACAGTGTTTCAGAAACCAGTGAAATCAAAGGCTGCAGAACTACGCTGGGAAGGCCATTGTCAAGCTCCCTCTCAAGGGAGTAGACGTTAACGGATCCCTTCTCACTAAGCATCTTCTGAAAAGTTTCACAACCCAAGCCCACAGCTCAAGACACAGAGCACTCCAAACTATCAGAAGAAACATTTATTCTTGGTTTTGTTAAATAGATTATTCTCATCACAGGGTGTATGGGCTCTGAAAATACTCTTAAAGAAAACTTTAGACAAAGACTAGATTCCACCGTGGAAGCTTTTTCCTTTACCCTTCCGACAGAAGGTTCAGGTGAAAGGTCACTGAGCCTGCGGCAGAGGAGAAGCGGGAGGCATATGACATACCTTCATGCCAGTGGAGCTTGAACAGAACTGAGGCTCTCTGGAGCTGAGGAAGAGTGCTCAAAAGATACATGTTGATGATTCTGTCCAAGACTCAGCATATGACCTGGCCTAGGGGTGACGGCTGTCTGGGGACAGAAGCAGCTACTTGCTGCTTCTCCATGATGGGCATCAGCCGCTCCAAGGTTGGGAGGTTGTCCCTTGAGCTCTGGCTGAGCAGGCAGGGTCTTCTGGCTCCACTCCAAGAACCCAGATTTCTGCCCATACAACAGCTTATCTTCCAGGAGTTTCCCAAGGGACGCCATGAGCTCGTGGGCTTCCGGAGGCCCGCAGCTCATAAACAGAGCCGTGTCTTTCTCCGATCTGTGTCTTGTGCTGTCTTTACTGGAATAAACCCACTGAAAAAGTTGTCCTATCTTTTTTCTGAAGTAACCGTCAGGGGGATGTTCCTTCTTGGCTGATTTCTCCTTAATAGGTTGGCTCTTCTTTCCTGCTTTGGATGACTCTAATTCCTGAGGGTCGCTTCTACCGTTTTCTTTCCTGGATACTGGCAACGCCAGCCTCTTCTCAGCTGATGTGAAATTTTTTAAGATACGTTTGAAGATCCTGGGCTCCTGCCATGAATCCACACTGATTCCTGTGCTATACGTGTCGCTTTGCACACCCCTGAAAATGGAGACGTCTGCACTAGACATGCTGTTGGAAGAAGAGGGCGAGTAGCCGGAGAAGCTTTCTGAGGATGACTCGCTCTCCCAGCCTTCAGCTTCAGACTGACTTTGTGGCTGATACTCCAGCTTTGAGCTTAGTTTCTTAAACAGTTGTTTCTTAAAGTCCAATACTGTCGGCTCTTCAGGAACTGACCTCCTTGATGGGTTCTGCCCTGTGGCCACTGTAGAGCTTGACCTATACTCAGGTTCGTTTTTCTCTGTGGAGCTTTCTGACTCGATGCTAGAATCAGTCCCTGACAGAACAACACTTACCTCCCGGGCCTTGAGTATCTCTTTGAGCATGTTGGGTGCCATCATGTATTTTGGATGCTTTTCTACACTCTGTTTGCTTATATCGGTTACTAGTTCAGAAGAACTTGCTATTTCATTCTCTGTTTCAGACCTAGCCACTTCTTCCTTTATGGGCTGCTCTTGTCTGGGTCTGCTTTGTAGTATGGCCTCATTCTGACTTAGGTCCGGGTTGCTGGGCCTGTCATCAACTGTCGGGACCGAATCTGTAACCTCAGAGGCAGGCTTAGAGACTGATGGTCTCAGGGACCCCTCTCCTTCACTATCTACACATGAGAAGGTGAGAGAGTAATCTGTGGTGGGGGCTGAGTCTGTGGTTTCTAATTTGTCTCCATGGAGAAGGTCGGAGCTTCCCCTGAGGGGACTGAGAAAGTTACTTTTCAAATCCAGCCCAGGAATACTGTTTAACCATAAGGGGAGATTAGACTGAGAAAGGGGCCATGTTTTTGCTTCTCTCAAAATATAGAATTTTATGGATTCAAGAACCTTGATGGGGAGGCCCCATTGCTGACTCACCCGGAACCTTATCAGATGGGCTTCCAGCATCTTCTGGGTCTTGTGATCAAGAAAAGGTATTTCTGGAATAGCAGTATTGCAGTGGATCTTCCCCAGGAGTGAGCTCCAGAGAGATGCATCTTCAGCGAGCCACGAACAACACACCTCGATTGGAATCCGGCCCATTGTGATCTGCCAGTACTTTCTGCTCATGTGTAACCTCAGAATGCTTCTCGTGTGTCTCTGGTCCAAGTTCTTCCTTGAGATGCTGAACTGTCCATTTTCCAAGCCAGTCCTTGAGTGACATGCCCATCCCCTCTCTGTCTCAGGGATAGCCTTCAAACCATTCAGTATATAACATCCTGAGAGCATTTGTGGGTTGTCTAATGGGCATTTCCCTAGGATTTGGCCAAGGTTCTTGGCTACATCCTTTCTTAGCTGTGGCTTCATGGGGACCTTCTCACAATAACTTTCCGAGTGACTTAGTCCAGTCCTGGGGTCGGCGCAGATGCTGCCCCAGTGTATACAGCATTGAGGCTTAACGTATTTGTAGCAGTGGGAAGATGCTCCTGTTGGTTTGAACTGAGTGTCCATCATTTCTGGCACTCCTGTCCTATTGCACGGCGCGAAGCACCAGGGAGAGATTAGGTTATTTGTTCCATAGGGTTCCAGGTTGTTCTGATGTTCACTGCTCAAATGAAAAAGGCCAGACCCGGGGATGGAAACATAGCTCTGTGAAGGTTGGCTGCCCAAGGGAAAGGTGGGAACTGGAAGACCAAAGGCACTTTCATATCGCTGGCATTCAGGGGTCAAACTCCACAAACGATTTTGAGGATTCTGCAGCAAGTGGTATTGCAAATGTTCTTTCCCGTTTAAGACGTCCGAGACGGTCCTGGTCTGTGGTATCTGGAGAGCACTTCCACAGGGTAAAGATGGCAATGCCATGGTGGACAGTGGAGATTGCATGTGGGCCTGAGACTTTCCCTCAGTAAGAGTCTGTGGCTGGGGACCTACCTTAGGGAAAGGTTGAGGATGGACGAGGGTGAGAGGCAAGGCATGGGGCTGGGGAAGGGCTGGAAGGCCATGACTACTCAGGACTGGAGCTGTCGCAGCTCTACAGACCCCATTGAACAACACAAAGCAAGGCTCTGGCGAGTAGCTGCTCACGGGGACCAGGAGAGTAGCCACGATGGACTCGCTGTGCAGAGACGGGAGACCCCAGAAGAGCTGGCTGTATTTCTGGCCCAGGTCTCCCTCTGGAATCTTCACGCACAGGAGCTGGTCGGAAGCCCCAGATTGCTTTCGTTTCCCTTTCAGCTTTAAGTTGATTTTCGGGACCTGGGTGTCCAGATTAGTGACAGTCAAACCTGCCAAGTTCCACGGGGCTGTGAGTTGGCATTCTGACCTCCTGGCATCTGGAGAAGTATCATCCCTCTTTTTTGCCTCTTCCAGAGTCTGGAGAGCCATCTTCTTTTTCATTTGTCTCTTCAAGAGTTCCTGTATGTGAAGAACAAGGGAGGAAACTGGGTCTGCTCCTCCTTACAAGGCATCACGCACCCCCCCCCCCACACACACACAGGGAAGCTTTCTCTCGCCAAGAACCAGTGCAGAAATCTCATGAGGCGAAGCGTGCATTCTGCCGAGGACTGCGGAACTGCTGCATTTGAACAGCAATAAAGGATGATCTACCTACTGAAGACACAGTGGCTGGATGGATCACAGGATCATCTTTTCTAGTGTAAAGTATTCTCAGGGATACTGGGGGTGTTGCTGTTGGGGTAGGGAAGGGTCACTCGGAAGGGTCCTAGTGTTAGAGAGCTACCCAGTAAGAATGAAAGCAGTGTCCCACAGGGGGGTGCCCTGGTTAGGTGACAGGATGGAGGGGAGGGTGGGAAAAGGCCCAGGTAGAGGGTTCTGAAGAGGGACATTGAGAACAGTCATAAGAACTACAGAACCCAAAGGGACCAGAGATGGGGCAGTATGTGCTGTCAATGCCAGGCATAGTAGGTGGCTGACCTCAGCAGGACACAGTGCTTACTGTAAGTAGCTGCTGTCACGATGCCCACACATGAAGCTTCAAAGCCCTTGTAAGGACCAATACAAAGAACAGATGGCCATGTGGCCGACCTCAGCTAGGATCACCTGTGGGCTATATAATATAATTATATATATATATATTTAAGATTTATTTATTTCATTTATATGAGTACACTGTAGCTGTCTTCAGACACACCAGAAGAGGGCATCAGATCCCATTACAGATGGTTGTGAGCCACCATGTGGTTGCTGGGAATTGAACTCAGGACCTCTGGAAGAGCAGTCAGTGCTTTTAACCACTGAGTCATCTCTCCAGCCCTTGCCCTGGTCCTTTTTAACAACTGCTTCACACTGATTTCTGTATCAGCCATTTCTCTGTTGCTGTGATAAAACACCATGACCAAAGCAACTTGGAAGAAAGGATGCATTTGGGTTTACAGTTCCAGAGGATTAAGAGTTTACTGTGCCAAGAATCCAGGCAGCAGACCAATAGATATGGTGGCAGGAACAGTGGAGATCCCACATCCCAAGCCTCAAGCAGGAAGCAGGGGGAGCAAACTTAAAATGGTGTGAGTCTTTAAGCCCTCCCAGTCTGTCCCCGGCGACATGCTTTCCCTTCAACAAGGCTACACTTCTGGAGCCTCACCCAAAGCAGCGCCACCAACTGGAGACCAAGCATTCAAATGCCTGAGACTATGGGGACAGCTCACTCAAACCACCACACTCTTGGAGAAGTACCCCAGGAGTGACTCTGTAAGCCATTTCTGAGAGAGCTGTCTCCTGAGAGGAACTGTGTCTAGCAAATGATGTCATTGGACCGTGGACCTGGGATCTCGGGAGGGGGCTCCTTGAGGGGCTCAGGTGTAATGGAGGGGGTGGTATTGGCTTTAATGTTACCCATTGTTGTTCTGTTGGTTCTGCCCTGTACTAAGAACGAAAGAATAAGGGAGTAGCAACTTTTCCTGCTTCTCTTGAGCTTACTAATATCCAAGAACACTGACTTCAAATAAGTTTCTCGTCCTAACTTTGAAAGAAAATTTTCACTTGTTCTTTGGGAAACTAAAGGAGGAGTTTGTGACATCATAATGGATATGCCCAGCCCCAAGTGCTCTACTCCAGGCATTGACCCAGGCCGGCAGCCGCAGCTCAGCACCTCAGAAAGCTCTGCATCTTACAGACAAAGCTGAGACTCCAGGTTTTGCTCAGAGGGCCTCAGGGGCCTTTCCTGCAGCCCAGTTAAGGGAAAGCCTGGTGAAGGAGGTTGAGAGGTGGAACAGGGGAGACTAAATGTAAGGAGACACTACCCTTCACAGAACCCACCATCTGGAACTAAGCCAATGGGACCAAGAACCAGTGCTCGGCCCTAGATCATGGAATTTTCAATTATACCCAGAGAGGTGACTGTGGGCCCAGATGAAAACCTTGGTCCTCCTTGAATCCGCACCGTGCCAGATCTCATGCCCTAGGGAAGCAGTGTTCTCTTCTCTTCTCAGCATCCCCCTTCAGATATCTCTGTGAGACAGCCAAACTCTAAACTCACCCAACTGTATCAACCAAGACTCCTCCAGGGAGCTCACCGTGACTGCCTCACCTTTCTGAGGCCCTGCCGTTTCCACAGTGATAAAAATGAAGTCAGTATCAGATGCGACAGGCACAGGAGAACCAGCTCCTGCACTCAGGAAGGTAGAGTGGGCCAGTGTCCAAGAGCATTGAGCCAGAGCTCAACCACGATTCCGTACTGCTACTCAGAATGGAGAGAACCTTCCGCGCAGTGTGACTCACACAGCTGCCTTGAGATCTGAGGTGGTGTGGGCCTCACTCTGAGCGGCAGTGCTGCATCACAGAGCAAGGAAGGTCATAGAGGGTTTGTGAGGGTGGGGAGGAGCGTGAGCCTCAACATCCACCCCCACCTCCAAGTCCCAGCAGAGCCCTCCGCCTGAGCCTGCTGCTCCATTCCCAGCCTGCTTCCCTGTGTGTTCCCTCTCTGGCCAGGGCCACAGTGTCTGTGTGCGTGTGTGTGTCTCTGTGTGTGTGTGTTTGTGTGTATCTGTGTATCTGTGCGCATGTGTGTATCTGTGTGTGTCTGTGTGTGTCTGTGTGTGTATCTATATATGTGCGTATATGCATGTGTGTGTCTGTGTGTGATACTGTGTGTCTGTGTGTGTCTCTGTGTGTATCTATATATGTGTGTATATGCATGTGTGTGTCTGTGTGTGATACTGTGTGTCTGTGTGTGTCTCTGTGTGTATCTATATATGTGCGTATGTGCATGTGTGTGTCTGTGTGTAACTGTGTGTGTCTGTAGCTGTGTGTCTGTGTGAGTGTGTTTGTGTGTGTGTCTGTGTATGTGCATGTGTGTCTGTGTGTATCTGTGCATGTGTGCAAGTGTGTGTATATCTGTGTGTCTCTGTATGTGTATCTGTGTGTTTGTGTGTTTATGTGAATGTGTTTGTATGTATCTGAGTGTGTCTGTGGGTTTGTGTGAGTCTGTGTTGTGTGTGAGAGAGTATGGTTGTATGTGTGAGAGTGTGTTTGTATGTATCTGTGTGTGTGTGTGTGTGTGTGTGGGTGGGTGGCTTCACCTCAGTCTCCCCAGCAGCCTACCTGGAATTCTTGCTTTTGGCGGGATTTTCAGTCTCTGGCACAAATGTCTTCCAGAACATGTCACCTATGCAATGGCTTCTTTTCACTCAGATTAGGAAGAAAACTTCCTTTATACTTTTACAAATGTTGATGAGAACATTTTCAAGTTCCTGACAGTACTTTCACATCTTTAGTCAGGGACAGACTCAAATCATCGAACTCATATAAAATATGGACTATACTAAATGAATACAATTGCATCTTCAGGCACTCTTTGGTCTAATTTTATTCCATTTCTTTTTTTGAAATTAGTGAAATTTCAAGTGGAATGAGAGTAAGATACATGCACACTCACATACAGAGACACACACATGCACACATAGACACAGACACACACAGAGGCATAGGGACACACAGACACACACAGATACACAGAGACACACGCAGACACACACACACATAATCACAGGCACAGAGACACAGACACATATGATACAGAGACACACACAGAACCACACTCACACACAGAGACACACACACAGGCACAGAGACACCAACACAGAGACACAGAACCACACTCACATACAGAGACACACATGGACACACACACACAGACACAGGCACAGGCACAGAGACACACACAGAACCACACTCACACACACAGTCACAGAGACACAGACACACACACACACACACACAGGCACAGAAACACAGACACAGAGACACACATTCACACAAAGACACAGGCACAGAAATACAGACACAGACACACACACACACAGACACAGGCACAGAGACACAGACACACACAGACATACACCCACACACACAAACACAGGCACAGAGACACAGATACACACAGACACAGAGACACAAAGACACACACACACACACGCACAGATACACACAGACACACACACATAGGCACAAAGACATGTACACACACAGAGAGACACATACAGACACATACACAGACACAGATACAGACATGTACACACACACATAGATACATACAGACATACAGACAAATGCACAGACACACATACAGACATGTACACACAGACACACACAGTCACACACACAGACACACAGACACACATGCACAGACACACAGACACACACACAGAGACACATACAGACACATACAGACATGTATACACACACACACACACAAGCTTACTCTCACAAATCAGTGTATCATAATTGTGTGAGAAGAGTCTGTCTTCCTTCATTTCTCCCACATACATCATTAATTTGAACCCGATTTCTCCACGTATAGACCATTCCTGGCCATGTCAGTGATTGCATAGGCTGTCCATGATCCCCTCATGGGGCTGATCGACAATACACCCTTAGGGTAAGTCCCCAAGTCCTTGGTGACAGAGCGGGACTCAGGATTGTCAAAGCCAGGGAAGAACCTGGGTTTTCTCTCATGACTCTTTCTAAATTATACTTGCTGCAATCGCCTGGTAATGTTCCCCACACTGAAGAGTCTGTCACATGTTATCCAAGTAGCATTTCTTCTCGGTGTTAAAGGAGCCCAAGATTGAATAGCCTCCCCACCCCCATCCCTGATCTAGGCGTTCGTGCTCCAGTCTGTCTGCTGGTGTCTCACACCTCCCTTAAACTCTACAGCCATCCCTTCACTCTACAGCGCGTGCCGCTTACTAGCTCTCCTGTGAGGGGATAGACTTCAAGCCAGGCAGAACCCACCAGTTAAGCACACACGTCTTGTCCAGAGGGCGAGCTCCATTCCCTTGGCTTGCAACCTTGACCAAGTCTTCATGTAGAGCCTAGGAAGGAGATATAGATCCTTGGAGTTCACAGGCTCTGGGGGTAGAGGGCTCTCAGCTAGGTTGAAGAATTGTGTTCCACAGAAGTCAAAGCTTCAAGCGTGAAGAAAAAAGCGCAACCCCTCAACAGCTGCAAACCGCCCAAGCAACCCAAGGGGCGGATCTGGGGCTGTAGGTGAGCACTGTATGGACACTGTTGCCTAGCTAGGCTCCCTGCCCATGTCTCCAGTTTTCTCTTAGGAACTAACCAGTCCTTTGGCACAGATGACCAAACAATGCTGTTACCTTTGAAAATGGCATCGCTGGTCACGTATGTTCATGTACAGACTTGTGCGGAGTGTTCAAACCCACGTGAAGTTTCATTAAAAGTTCTTTTTCTCCAATTATAATTTGGTTTGTTTTCAGTATCTCCCAGAAGCTCCTCCAAAGCTAAAAGGAATAAGAGAGTAAGGACCGAGTTCTTTTCTTATAGATTTGCAACAACAACAAAAAAACTTTATTAAGATGTAACTGGACACTTCGTGGACACATTGTGCTTTGCCAGCAATAACCCGCATTAACCTCGAATGATAGACCATTCTAGTACTTAATTCTTCTCCACTGACTGTAGCTATTTCTAACATAATTGCTACCCAACTCTAGAGCATCCTACCGGAGCCCGTGGTCTCCAAAGTGTCTTCCAATATTCTCAGTGGGCTGGCTCTCTCAGCAGCCCAGTCAATAAGAAGGGCAGGAACTGGAGCGTCTTCTCAATGAACGAACGCGAGCTCAGAGAGGCTAAGGAAAGTCGCTAGGTGGCACCTAGAGACCTCACAAATTCTTACGTTCTCAATCATTTGAAATGTCTGGGTTTTTAAAAAATAATTTATTTTTTATTTCATGTGCATTGGTGTCTTCTGTGCATGTATGTCTGTGTCAGGGTGTTGGACCCTGGAGTTACAGACAGTTGTGAACTGCCATGTGTGTGTGGGAATTGAATTTGGGTCCTTTGAAAGAACAGTCAATGCTCTTAACCTCTGACCCATCTCTTCAGCCCCCCACCCCCAGGTCCTAGTCTTAAAATGAAAGAAGTTTCACAGCTGAAAATATGACTGTTTTGTTTGTTTTGCAAGTCTTTTTGAAAATTCACTTCGTATCCCAATTACTAGCCCCTTCCTAGACCCCTTCCTAAGTCCCTCCCCCTTCCCTTCTCCTCCGAGAGAGTGGGCCCCCCACCCGGGCATTCCCCACCCTGGCACATCAAGTCTCTGCAGGGTTAGGTGCTTCTTCTCCCTCTGAGGGCAGACAAGACAGCCGAGTTAGGGGAACAAATTCCACAGACAGGCAACAGTTTCAGGGACAGTCCCACTCCAGTTGTTCTGGATCTACATGAAGACCAAGCTGCACGTCTGCTACATATGTGCGGGAGGCTTAGGTCCAGCCTGTGCATGCTCTTTGCCTGGTAGCTCAGTCTCTGAGAGCCCCCAAGGGTCTAGGTTAGTTGATTCTGTTGGTCTTTCTGTGGAGTCCCCTTCAGGGCCCTCAATCCTTCCCCCAACTCCTCTGTAAGTGTCTCAAAGCTCCATCCAATGCTTGGCTGTGGTTCTCTGCATCTGTCTGAGAATATGACTTTAATGTAAAATATTGGCTAATTTGGGAAGCAGAGTTGTTTTGTATGTTCGAGCATCTGCTGTGTTCAGAAACGGTCACCTCTGTTTTTAGCCCCGGCATCTTCTCTGCACTCCTGTGTTGAGGCCTGCGAGGCACACATATCAGCTGTCAGCTGATGACAGTTTCAAATGCCTTCTCTCCTGGGAGCACAGTCCGTTTAAGACTTGGGTGTGTTCAGAGCAGGACATTTTAGGACCTCACAGAGAGCAGGGGAGTGCCCTGTCACCTCCCATAGCCTCTCCCTCATGACCTACATTGCCACATAGAAGTCTCCTCCCAAATTTCTCCAGACACTTGCTCATATGTCTTCAGAAAGAAGCATTTCCCCAACACGTGACTAGAGGACACACACACTACTTTGTGATTCTTAGATACCGTGTTCTTGGTTTGGGATTCTCAGATATGCTTGGACTCCTAAGAACCTTGCTCAGTGTTCCCTCCCTCTCAGCCTATCCTGTGACCCTGGGTCAGGTCAAGTGGAAGCCATGATGTATAGACAGAGAAGCACATCCTCTCTCTCTCTCTCTCTCTCTCTCTCTCTCTCTCTCTCTCTCTCACTCACACACACACACACACACACACACACACACACACACACACACAAATGTGAATGGGT